AAATATCGATTTTATATCAATATTAGCATTCTTTATCATTTATAATACCTAGATGTGTTTAAAAATGCAATTTAAAGCATTTTTGGTTTTGATCATAGTAGGCTATTTTTAAAAAAATTATATCGATTTTATATATATATTAGCATTCTTTATCATTTATAATACCTAGATATGTTTTAAAATGCAATTCAAAGCATTTTTGGTTTCAATCAGAGTAGGCTATTTTCACCAAAAAAATATCGATTTTATATCTATATTAGCATTCTTTATCATTTATAATACCTAGATGTGTTTAAAAATGCAATTTAAAGCATTTTTGGTTTTGATCATAGTAGGCTATTTTTAAAAAAATTATATCGATTTTATATCTATATTAGCATTCTTTATCATTTATAATACCTAGATATGTTTTAAAATGCAATTCAAAACATTTTTGGTTTCGATCATAGTAGGCTATTTTCACCAAAAAATATCGATTTTATATCTATATTAGCATTCTTCATCATTTATAATAGCTAGATGTGTTTAAAAATGCAATTTAAAGCATTTTTGGTTTTGATCATAATAGGCTATTTTTAAAAAAATTATATCGATTTTATATCTATATTAGCATTCTTTATCATTTATAATACCTAGATATGTTTTAAAATGCAATTCAAAACATTTTTGGTTTCGATCATAGTAGGCTATTTTTAAAAAAAATATCGATTTTATATCAATATTAGCATTCTTTATCATTTATAATACCTAGATGTGTTTAAAAATGCAATTTAAAGCATTTTTGGTTTCGATCATAGTAGGCTATTTTTAAAAAAATTATATCGATTTTATATCTATATTAGCATTCTTAATCATTTAAAACACCTAGATGTGTTTAAAAATGCAATTTAAAGCATTTTTGGTTTTGATCATAGTAGGCTATTTTTAAAAAAATTATATCGATTTTATATCTATATTAGCATTCCTTATCATTTATAATACCTAGATGTGTTTAAAAATGCAATTAAAAGCATTTTTGGTTTTGATCATAGTAGGCTATTTTTAAAAAAATTATATCGATTTTATATCTATATTAGCATTCCTTATCATTTATAATACCAAGATGTGTTTAAAAATGCAATTTAAAGCATTTTTGGTTTTGATCATAGTAGGCTATTTTTAAAAAAATTATATCGATTTTATATCTATATTAGCATTCCTTATCATTTATATTACCTAGATGTGTTTAAAAATGCAATTTAAAGCATTTTTGGTTTTGATCATAGTATGCTATTTTTAAAAAAATTATATCGATTTTATATCTATATTAGCATTCCTTATCATTTATAATACCAAGATGTGTTTAAAAATGCAATTTAAAGCATTTTTGGTTTCGATCATAGTAGGCTATTTTCACCAAAAAATATCGATTTTATATCTATATTAGCATTCTTTATCATTTATAATAGCTAGATGTGTTTAAAAATGCAATTTAAAGCATTTTTGGTTTTGATCATAGTAGGCTATTTTTAAAAAAATTATATCGATTTTATATCTATATTAGCATTCTTTGTCATTTATAATACCTAGATATGTTTTAAAATGCAATTCAAAACATTTTTGGTTTCGATCATAGTAGGCTATTTTTAAAAAAAATATCGATTTTATATCAATATTAGCATTCTTTATCATTTATAATACCTAGATGTGTTTAAAAATGCAATTTAAAGCATTTTTGGTTTCGATCATAGTAGGCTATTTTTAAAAAAATTATATCGATTTTATATCTATATTAGCATTCTTAATCATTTAAAACACCTAGATGTGTTTAAAAATGCAATTTAAAGCATTTTTGGTTTTGATCATAGTAGGCTATTTTTAAAAAAATTATATCGATTTTATATCTATATTAGCATTCCTTATCATTTATAATACCTAGATGTGTTTAAAAATGCAATTAAAAGCATTTTTGGTTTTGATCATAGTAGGCTATTTTTAAAAAAATTATATCGATTTTATATCTATATTAGCATTCCTTATCATTTATAATACCTAGATGTGTTTAAAAATGCAATTAAAAGCATTTTTGGTTTTGATCATAGTAGGCTATTTTTAAAAAAATTATATCGATTTTATATCTATATAGCATTCTTTGTCATTTATAATACCTAAATATGTTTTAAAATGCAATTTAAAACATTTTTGGTTTGGATCATAGTAGGCTTTTTTTACCAAAAGATATCGATTTTATATCTATATTAGCATTCTTTATCATTTATAATACCTAGATGTGTTTAAAAATGCAATTTAAAGCAAAAAAAATTATATCAATTTTATATCTATATAGCATTCTTTATCATTTATAATACCTAGATATGTTTTAAAATGGAATTCAAAGCAAAAAAAATTATATCGATTTTATATCTATATAGCATTCTTTATCATTTATTATAATACCTAGATATGTTTTAAAATGCAATTTAAAGCATTTTTGGTTTCGATCATAGTAGGCTATTTTCAAAAAAATATCGATTTTATATCTTTATTAGCATTCTTATCATTTATAATACCTAGATATGTTTTATGATGCAATTTAAAGCATTTTTGGTTTCGATCATAGTAGGCTGTTTAAAAAAAATATCGATTTTATATCTATATTAGCATTCTTTATCATTTTTAATACCTAGATATGTTTTAAAATGCAATTCAAAACATTTTTGGTTTCGATCATAGTAGGCTATTTTCACCAAAAAATATCGATTTTATATCAATATTAGCATTCTTTATCATTTATAATACCTAGATGTGTTTAAAAATGCAATTTAAAGCATTTTTAGTTTTGATCATAGAAGGCTATTTTCAAAAAAATTATATCGATTTTTTATCTATATTAGCATTCTTTATCATTTATAATACCTAGATATGTTTTAAAATGCAATTTAAAGCATTTTTGGTTTCGATCATAGTAGGCTATTTTCACCAAAAAATATCGATTTTATATCAATATTAGCATTCTTTATCATTTATAATACCTAGATGTGTTTAAAAATGCAATTTAAAGCATTTTTGGTTTTGATCATAGTAGGCTATTTTTAAAAAAATTATATCGATTTTATATATATATTAGCATTCTTTATCATTTATAATACCTAGATATGTTTTAAAATGCAATTCAAAGCATTTTTGGTTTCAATCAGAGTAGGCTATTTTCACCAAAAAAATATCGATTTTATATCTATATTAGCATTCTTTATCATTTATAATACCTAGATGTGTTTAAAAATGCAATTTAAAGCATTTTTGGTTTTGATCATAGTAGGCTATTTTTAAAAAAATTATATCGATTTTATATCTATATTAGCATTCTTTATCATTTATAATACCTAGATATGTTTTAAAATGCAATTCAAAACATTTTTGGTTTCGATCATAGTAGGCTATTTTCACCAAAAAATATCGATTTTATATCTATATTAGCATTCTTCATCATTTATAATAGCTAGATGTGTTTAAAAATGCAATTTAAAGCATTTTTGGTTTCGATCATAGTAGGCTATTTTTAAAAAAATTATATCGATTTTATATCTATATTAGCATTCTTTATCATTTATAATACCTAGATATGTTTTAAAATGCAATTCAAAACATTTTTGGTTTCGATCATAGTAGGCTATTTTTAAAAAAAATATCGATTTTATATCAATATTAGCATTCTTTATCATTTATAATACCTAGATGTGTTTAAAAATGCAATTTAAAGCATTTTTGGTTTCGATCATAGTAGGCTATTTTTAAAAAAATTATATCGATTTTATATCTATATTAGCATTCTTAATCATTTAAAACACCTAGATGTGTTTAAAAATGCAATTTAAAGCATTTTTGGTTTTGATCATAGTAGGCTATTTTTAAAAAAATTATATCGATTTTATATCTATATTAGCATTCTTTATCATTTATAATACCTAGATATGTTTTAAAATGCAATTCAAAACATTTTTGGTTTCGATCATAGTAGGCTATTTTTAAAAAAAATATCGATTTTATATCAATATTAGCATTCTTTATCATTTATAATACCTAGATGTGTTTAAAAATGCAATTTAAAGCATTTTTGGTTTCGATCATAGTAGGCTATTTTTAAAAAAATTATATCGATTTTATATCTATATTAGCATTCTTAATCATTTAAAACACCTAGATGTGTTTAAAAATGCAATTTAAAGCATTTTTGGTTTTGATCATAGTAGGCTATTTTTAAAAAAATTATATCGATTTTATATCTATATTAGCATTCTTTATCATTTATAATACCTAGATATGTTTTAAAATGCAATTCAAAACATTTTTGGTTTCGATCATAGTAGGCTATTTTTAAAAAAAATATCGATTTTATATCAATATTAGCATTCTTTATCATTTATAATACCTAGATGTGTTTAAAAATGCAATTCAAAACATTTTTGGTTTCGATCATAGTAGGCTATTTTTAAAAAAAATATCGATTTTATATCAATATTAGCATTCTTTATCATTTATAATACCTAGATGTGTTTAAAAATGCAATTTAAAGCATTTTTGGTTTCGATCATAGTAGGCTATTTTTAAAAAAATTATATCGATTTTATATCTATATTAGCATTCTTAATCATTTAAAACACCTAGATGTGTTTAAAAATGCAATTTAAAGCATTTTTGGTTTTGATCATAGTAGGCTATTTTTAAAAAAATTACAAAAGTCCTCGTGTTTTGATCGAGTGACTTCAGCGCATTTTTGACGCAGCGATTAGTGTTTGCTTAACAATTTAATGCTTTATTTTTTAATTTTATAACAGTCAAAAAAAATTTGAAATTTTCTTCTAAAAATTGTTTTCTTAATATCCAAAAAAACAATTAATGTGTTCTTAAATGTCCGTATGTCTGAATAACGACCATTTACAATTTAAACTTTACAGATTTTCGATCGAAAATCATAAGTTGAAGAATTTTTGTGGAAAGGTGTTTTTCTTAAAAACAAAAAAATGTTTATCGCTAAAGTAAATGAAGCAGTAGTTGGATCTATCTTTGGTCCGAGTGGACGAGTCTTACGTGAACTCGAAAATCGCTATAAGCTGATCGTCGATGCCCATAAACTTAGCGTAAGTTAAATTTTTATTTCAGAGGTTAATATGTTCATTTTTTTCAAATTTATATTTTTAGGATGATCGGAAGTTCCGACTTATATCAATTACCGGAAACATCATTAATACTTGTGGCTTCTTATACGAAATTGGCGAATTAGTCGGTTCAGCTAATATTATCATATCACCGAAAATTGTCGGCCGCGTTTATGTCTATGCTCAATCGTTATTGAATCCAATTAATAGTAACGGAAGTCGTCCTCCTGCAAAGTCAGTCCCCAGTTCGACAGTGGCAGTTCCGAAATCCGGCAATGTAAACCTGATCGATTTAGAAACATCGATTATTGTCAAAAAGCACGATTCCGCCAGCTCAGACTCAGAATTTTAGTTATTTTTGATATAATGGAAGTAAATAAAATAGCCAAATAAGAGCTTACGTTTAAGTTTTTTTTAATTAATTCCGATTCCAGTTATTTTTCTAACCAATTGAAGTTCTAAAAATTCTATTTCTGAGGTGTGATGTATTTATACATCCAGTGAATCATATCAATTCAATATTAATCGATTTCCGGTTCAATCAGTTTGTGCTGTAATAAAGGGAAATAGTAAAAGACTGTTACAATTTTAATCAGTTTAATCTTCTCTTTATTTAATGTTTAATAAATGTTCTTTTTAAAACTAATTAGCTTCCGCGTGGAACACGGAAGGTGTTTTTTTAATATTTATTTTCCTTGTGAAACATCCATAAACGACTGAGATGTTTTTGGTTGTTGTGAAGGTTTTTCTTCTTTTGGACTTCCTTGTTCGTCTGGTTCATCTGATTTTACAGGTCCGTTTTCATCGTTATGGTCGTTTTTAATTCCGAAATTCATATTATCATCGCAAACCGGCTTATCGAGTTTCTTTTCTAAGCTATCGATTTGAGATAACATTTCAAGGCTTATCTCCATTTCGAAATTTTCGTCATCCTTCATACTGAGCTCGGTTTTGGTCGTTGATTCGATATCCGTTTCAACTTTTTGTTTTTTTACATTCCGTTCGACTTTTTCCAACATTAAACATTTCTCTAATAATTTGGCATCGTTTTTCGATTTGATCAGCTTGCGTTCGAGGTCTTTAATTTTGTTTTCATTTTTACGCTTAATTGCTCCCATTACTGAAACTGAAATTTAAATTAAAAAAAAAAAATGATTAGTTATTTATTTTTTTTTTCAAACTTACGTCCAAATGCCGAATTTTCTATAATTTTTCCAAATTCCGTATTTAAATATCCATTTAAAGTTCTTTTATCGTCATCCGATTCGATTCCGAGTCTTTTGGCGCACGTATCTCGTTTAGCAACAATACTTTTTAAAAATATTTTTTCGTCCATTATAATTTTAAAGTTTTAAATTAGAGGCTAGGATTTTTTTTGCACCAATATCATATGCCATGTTTAAAAACGTAAAAAACGTCCCCGTATGAAATTCCGTTTTCAATTAAAAAAACTAGAAGCTAAATTAATATTTTATTAATATATTATTATTTATTGTTTATCCTTTATTCTAATGACAATCGCCTTGTGAAATGAATAATACGACTCGTAAATTGAGGAATCGACATCGAAATTCGTCAAATTTCCAAATACAGCATCAATTGTAGTTCCCGCATTCGTAGTCGGCTTTCGAGGTGACAATAGATCCAAACCATACGTTTGTTTAATGAAATTTTCGAATTGATTACCAATTTGAAACTGGTGATTAAAATCACCCATTATAAGAACATCTCGTATTCCGATGAACTCGTGAATTTTCGAAAATGCTTCCTTTAGTATATCGAGATTCGATGCTGGATTGTTGTACACGTTTATTACGGTGAGTTTGTTGTCGATGCAATATCCAGTTAATTCGATATGATTGTTTGCGTCTCCGAGCTCTATTTCAATCCGGTTCGAAATTCGACTTTCTATTGAAGATTTACAGAAGTTAATCGTTCCAAATGCTCGAGGACGTCCTGATAACGAATTTCGTGATATTTCCTCGAAGTCCGGAATGTTGTACGACTCATTGTTAATTGCCCAACTCTCTTGAAATGCTAATATGTGGGAGTTCGTGTATACACTATCAGTAACGACTGACGAGATATGCTTTCGAATGGATTGGACGTTGTGACTGACTATTTGAATGACATTTTCAGGAACGATTCGAAGAAATTGAAATTTCGGAATTAGTGGATTTTGTCGAAGTCGTTCCATTTCGATTTTCACTGGATCGTTTTCCTCAATTTGACTAGGCGGATTAAACTGTCCGATAATATGCAATCCGTTCAACGAAGTCGCTCTCGAAAAGGCCACGTAGTATTTTTGGCGATTCATTCCTTTTCGAACATCAACGGTTACGATTTCCTCGGACCGGCCTTGACTTTTGTGTATCGTAATTGCTTCTGCCATCAATATTGGATATTGCTCACGACTTACTTGTACCTAAAATTTAAAACAGAAACATAGATGTTTTAAAATATAAAATTATATTGAAAACTTTACCTTTCCTCCTTCGGTTGTGTTGAAACATCTGTTAGTGACTGTTATTGGTGTCCAAGTTGGTTGAATTTGAGCATTTGCTTGCATAACGTTATGCCGAGTGCTTCTAGCTTTTGCTCCAGTCTTAACGTCATCGAATTCGATATAAATAGCATTGATTTTCCGGTTTTGCAATTCGACAAATCTAAGAATTCCGCAAGCACCGTTAAAAAGTCCATCACAAACGTCAATATTAGTGGAAATCATGTAACGGAGACCGATTACGAGTTGAAGCTCATATATTAAGCCTTGTGTATCATTAGGCTTCATAGATTTAATTAAATGACGTGCTCGACGTTTTTGCTCGTCTTTATATGTGCCGATGAACTTATCTACAGCTTTATATGTAAAATGCAATGCGTTAGCACGAATTAATTCTTGTGCACGTTGCATGTTGTATGTGTCGACTCCTTCATTAAATGCGATCAATCGGAGTCGAGTACGAGCAACAGTAGGAAGTGTATTTTCGTTAAAACATCGGCTTTCGAACAACTGATTGTCTTCTTGAGTAGTTCGTCCAACAGCAAGTCGATTCAATGCTTCAGCAAATCTTAAATCATCACGTTGTCTCATAATTTCGGTAAGTTCGAACATCTGAAAAGGCTTCCATTGTGGATTGTCGACAAGAGCTGCAGTTGAATGACGTTCTTTCGATTGAAAGCAATATGGGGCTCCGATAGGTCGCAATTGTGCAAAATCTCCGACAGCGATGATCGAACGACCAGCAAATTCCTCTTTCGATTTGAAAGCTTGCTTCATGTTTGAGCTCATTTGATGTAAGTGTTTTGATGATAGGAAGCTGATTTCATCGATGATTGTCAACTTGTTTGATCGCATGTTACTAGCTAGCGTATTAGCGATATCCGGAGGAAGACCTTTATCCGTTTTGCCTTGATTTGCTGCTAAATGAAAAGCACTATGTGCTGTAATTCCACCAATATTATGTGCCGCCATACCGGTATAAGCGACAAGAAGGACTTCGTTTGAATCGACAGGACCCGGCTCGCTACGATAAATTCTCATTATTGATTGATATATTGCCTTAATCAATCGGCTTTTTCCAAATCCAGCTCCTCCTGCAATGTAATGATTAATTGGTAGGCAGGATGGATTATTGAAGCAACTTATTACATGCATTAGGTAGTCTCGTTGTCGTTCATTCAAGGAGTCACACAATTCATAATATTCGTCATCGGATAAGATATCGGGAACCTTATAACGACTGACGACTGTATTAGATTCTGGTGCTTCCATTCCCATTTCGACTGCCGCATTCGGTTGAACAATTGTATCATCAAAGTCGTATACGTTTTGGAAATCCGGATTAGCTTGTTCAACATCTTCACGGTCTTCAGCATCGGCTTCTTCCAATAGTCGTTCATTTTGTATATCTCTAGACATTTGTTCTAAGTCTAGAGAAACTGCATTGTATTTGTCATAATTTTCTTTGATGGTGGCTTCATTTTGATGGAATAATTCGGAACAATTCTGTGACTCGATATCAGTATCTTCATTTCTCCACGGCAAGAACAGCAAACACATTTCCCGATAATAATTCGCTTCATCTTGAGCGATATTGAAGCGGCAGTATCTAATTACTTTCGGTCGTCGTCTTCGTGTAATAGTTCCACTATTGTTCTTTAATTCAAACGTTTTCTTCTCGAGTGGATTGGTCTGTTCATCGTCATCGACTATTTCGAGTTCTTCAGCGTCATTAGCAATATCTCCTTCTTCAGTGTTGTCATTGACTGGTCGACCTTTCGGTTTGTAGTTGTATTTAGCAATGAAATCTGCAAGACATTCGTTTTCGAGTTCTTCAGGTCGGTCACTATATCGATCAATTAGTCCTTTCTTGTATATGTCAGTGCTATTAGGGTCAGTTTTCATAAGTTTGTCGATTTCTGCATTCGTCTTTAACATTCGTTGTCGTTGCTTGAAATAATGTAAGAAATTAAGGTTTTATTTTAATTTGAAAAGTATTTATCACTTACCGATTTCGGACCAGAATGAATGAATTCTACGACATCGGAAGACATACACATCGGTTGCCGGAGTCGAATCCAAGCCGCTTCTTGTGCCGATGTTTCACTGCAATTGTACAGGACTTTCGAAAGTGCGTTGAGTTTCGATTTAATACTGTGATTGCCACGTTCGTAATCCTTGATACATTGTCGCAATAACCGAGATAGTCCTTTGTCGGCTTTGTTGACGTAGTCGACCACGTAGCAAATACAGGAGTACACGTCCAGTATAAATTGAATATCCATATTTGATCTCATTGCAATAAGCATCTTCTTGTTGTATGGATTTATTCGGGCATTCTTGGGCAGTCGTTTAACGAAAACCTTTCGTGACTTAAGTTTTGCTCGTGCAGCAAGGAGATAGTCATCAAAACTGCATCCTAATTTATCTAGTAAATCGTCGAACGATAACGAACTCGCTGCTTCCGATTCGAGTATGTCATGCAGATTCTCATTAATCTTTCGAAGTAAGTCCTTTTTCGCTTGTGCTAAGACCATCGTATCCGGAATTGGCTCTAGTATCATTGTTTGTGGAAGTGGCAAAAAAGGTGCATTAAATCGGCATGTTTCCTTTCCTCTTCTTCCTTTCTTGCATGTGTGAGTGCATCGATGTTTCTGTACGTATATTATGCTAGAAACTTCCGGATCATCGGTATCAGTTGTGAATATTTCGTCAATGAATTCACAAACTCGCTTGTACGAATCCGGATCGTCAGGATTGAACTTGGGTGCGTCTTTCAAATCGACGAATTGATGAGCATGCGGCGATCCCCGATGTTGCCATTCGATACGACAATATTTGTGTGCTAT